ATTAAAAAGTTCAGAAGTTTCTGTCACCAGGCATAGCTGGATCCGGGGATTTGAAGGACACTCTCAGGACTCAGCTATTCTCCATCCTTCTGTTCAGCTTTCTTTTTTCAGTTTACTTCCTCTTAGGAGGGCTCTTTCAGGCAGCTCCATCCGACGAGCCTGGTAGTCCAATAAGAAGAGTTTTTTTTTTTTACAATAATTCCCAGAAAAGAGGATCACTGGCTTCAGTGGGGTCTTGCCCTTTCCTGCAGGGTGAATGGCATGTTCTAACAGGCCCCACCTTGGTGATATGTTCACTGATGTAAGGTCTAAGGAGAAGGGACCAGTAGGGATGGTCAGTTAAAGGAGAATGAGGTGCTATTATCAGAAGAAATGGGCTTGATGCTGCTTGGGCAAAGCCTGAGATGACTGCGCATGTCAGGTGGACCAAATGGAGGGACTCTGGAGGTCTCACTCTTCAAAGGGCCTCACTGGCATGCCAGGGTGATGGGGGAAGTGTATGTGTGGGGGGTGCTATAAAGGTAATAAGCAAGACACCTTCCTAGAGTATAAAATCTTTCAACAATTTGGAGAGCAATTTCTCTTTTTTTATGGAAAGATGTTCAAACATTGACGTATCATATAATAGAATTCACATAAAACATGAGACTGAGTCTTTGATGGGGGGGAGAGAGAGAGAGAGAGAAGGAGAAATCTCTCTTTGCAATAGGCCTTTTCTCCTTTTATAACACTTTCAAATTTGATTAATCAGATGGTAAATATATATATATAACTAATAGCCCAACTGAGGTAAAATACTTTTACTGAATGTAATTTTTTTCAAAATTAAACCATCTTTTATTTAAAAAAAAAAAAAAGTCCAGACACTGGGGCCCCATATCAGGGCTACAAAGTCTCCAGGGGGTCGGTATTTTTTTTAACTATTTATTTATGCATCTAGAACTGGGGTACAGGCAAGAAGTGCAGGGACGGTGAGAGGTGTCACCAGAGACAGAATGGGGAGCAGAACAGGCAGATGGATGAAGTACACTGCTGAGGGGAGACGTGGGTGGGTCAGGAGAGGCCTGCCATGCCATGTGGGTCACCTCTGGGGCTGGGGATTGAAGTCGTGAAGTGGCTGCTTCTAGCATCATAGCTGTGCTTTAACCTGTTGCGCCACCAGGGAGGCCCTGTATTTTTTAGTAAGTAACTTTGATGTTGCAGAACCACGGGCCACACTTTCATAAACACTGCCCCGCAGCTCTGGCCGGGCCCTGAGGATGCGCTATGGGGGAGGCCCTCCCCGGTCCATCAGGGGGTCAGGGCCCTGGCCTGTAGCTTCTCAGGGCCCTCTCCTGTCTCTTCCTACCCATGCAGGATCTGCACTGATCACTGTGCTCTCCCGACCTGACAAAGGTTACTGGGCCATCTGGGGGAGTCTTACAACACCATTGCTGTTGTGGTGAATGGGAGAAACAACTGGCCCCTGATAGACTCCAGGTTGGGGGGGTCAGAGACCATCCTCATGCAGCAGAGAGCAGCATCAGTGTGGCAGAGGTGGTTGGTTGAACCTCACCCCTTCAGTTTCAGCTGACGGAATTCCCTGCTGACTTGTTCATGGGGGGGAGGAGAGAAGCTGATGCAAGAGCGAGGAGCCCCTGTGTTGGCAGCAACAGTTGCCAGATTTCAGTGGTTTGTTTACCATCCCTGTTATTGTTGCCACACAGCACCTCCGATCTGTGCCAGTGTTGACTTATTATTTGTCTATAAATGGACTCATTTAAATGGGATGTATTTGAGTTTACCTAGGAAACTGAATATCACTCCTAGAACTCAGAAACCAGCACTGCTCATTGTAAATAAAATAATTATTCAAATACAATACCTACCACAAATGTCAAAGCGGGAGATTGGCATTAGCGCCACAGAACTCTAAAGACGAACCTGCCGCAAACAGAGCTCTTTAGTGATCGTAGGAGGGCAAACAAGTCCAGAAAGGGACAACTTTGCCCCTGTGAGTCAGTGTTATTTAAAACTGTGGGGTTACTACTGAAAATCATCTTGTGTACTGAAAGGTGAGTCTCCTACACTTTGGGACTCACCTGCTGGGGGAAATTCTGAGGCAGCCTCGCTGTGGAGCGGCTGTCTCTTGGCGAGGCCTCTTTTTTAGAAAAAATAGATTTATTTATTTATGCATATAGAACTGGGGTACAGGTCAGAGGTGGGGGAGAGGAGAGGATTCACCAGAGACAGAGTGGGGAGCAGAACAGGATGACTGATGGAAGCACACTGCTGAGGGGAGCAGCGGGGGAGACAGGAGAGGTCTGCCGCGCCATGTGACAGGTCACCTCCAGGGCCTGGGTTCGAACTCACATTGATGCATCCGTGGCTAGCTTGCAGTGCTGCGTTTTAAGCAGCTGGGCCACCAGGGAGGGCCTGAATCTGGATTCTTACAGGACAACCTGGGTGAGTGACTTGGCCCTTCAGTGTCTCAGCCTGTGTTATCTGTGAATAAGATAAGAGCAGCTACTTCAAAGAGCTGCTGTGTATCTTGTCCTTCCTCTATGTCCTCTCTTCCCCTTCCTCTGCTATACTGTAGCTGAGATTGCTCAGCCCTACCTGTGAACTAGGACTCTGGTCTGTAACAGTCAAAATTCTTTCCAGTGCTAGCCAGTTTATGCAAGAATAGGAATTTATTGGTGTACAAACCCCATAAAAGTCCAAAGGTAGACCAGGCAAAGGAGAGTTCCAAAGGCTCAAAGATATCCTCAGAAATTAGTCTTATTACTTCTCAAATCTGCTTTCCTCCAAGTTGGCTTCATTCTTAAGTAGCCACTCCAAGGAAAAGGAACCTCTCTCCCCCAACAATTCTGCCAAAATTCTCAGCGGACTGCTCTAATCCCACTCATTACAGTGGGTAGATGTTTCAATGGTGGACAGACCTGGTCACATGTTCACCCCATGAACTGAAGGTTGTGGTGAATCTTGCTTGAACCAGATACAGTGTGTGTGTGTGTTGTGCATGCACACACAGTACATTGATTCCCTAAAAGAAAATCAGAATGCGATTGTTACAGGGCACCCCAATGTGAATTGGGTTGCCTGTCTGTGGGTCCTCACCTGTACACTTAAGATTCAATTATAGTGAGGACACACACACACAAACAGGTCTGATAATGGGTTTATTTAAAAGGAGAACAACCTAGGGAAAAAGAGAGAAAAGTACAAGTTAACTACAATATCCTACATGCTCTGCTGACTTGGACTCCACCAGCACGCTGAGCACCCATCAAGAGCCAAAACTATCAGCTGTGAACCACCAGGTCCAGAGACCCTCAGAGCCCACATGTCCGGTTTTATCCTAACCTGGCTGCTCAGCTCCACCCTCACGTCCCAACATGCTTCTCATTGGTATTGATGGGATTTGTAGTTCCTGTATCTGGAGTAGGGGCAGAGTCCATGAAATCCGTGCCTGTTACACTATGACCAGAAAGTTGTAAGCTGGGTAGGCAAAACCAACAGATAAATATATATAGATTAGGCCACTATTGGCCACAAATAACAGAATTACCAACTAACAATGGCTTAAACAATGAACACAATCATCTCACATTATAAGGTGGAGGTCACTAGCCCTAGAGCAGCTAAAAGGTTTGAAAATTTTATAAGGATTCAAGATCTTTTATCCTTGAGTGGTCTTTCTCCCCCGTCTTTGCCTCATTAGTTCCTGCTTAGTATTCAAGAACTGTCCTGGTAGTGATTTGTTGAGCCCTTTGCAACTCAATAGTTCCCTAAACTATCTGAAGATCAAAATAAATCACCTGGAAAATGTAAAAAATGTATAGCTACTTGGGCTTCACCATAGACCTACTACAATACAAATCCAGAGGTCGGGCCAAGAATTCTGTATAGTATTTTGGTTATAGTTGTCTTCTTGTGTGATAAATATTCAAAAGTTTCACATTTTGTGAAGCATGTCTCACATAAAAGTCAAAGATGACATGGCAGCGCTGGATGTCTGGATGTCTGTCACGAAGCCAACGCCCTTCCACATTGTTGCTCTGCTTTTCCTGGGAAACTTCTCTCCTTGACATGATCCAAGAGGGCACACTACAGCATCTGAATTCCAGCCCATGGCAAGAGAAGGAACATGAAAAGGGAGAGCTCCTTCCATTTAGGTGAAGCAGCTTCCACTTAGAAGCTGCTCACGTAACTTCCCCTTATGGCTACTGTCC